GCAATTTAAATAACTCAGATCAGGTATGGTGGCTCATGCCTGTAATCTGGCACTTTGGGAGGCCAAGGTGGGAGGATCACTTGAGCCCAGGAGTTGGAGATCAGCCTAGGCAATATAGGGAAATCTTGTCACTACACAATTAAAAAAAAAAAATTAGCTGGGTGTGGTGGCATACTTCAGTAGTCCCAGCTGTTAGAGAAGTTGGCGGGGTACGGTGGCTCACGCCTGTAATTCCAGCACTTTGGGAGGCCAAGGCAGGTGGATCACCCAAGGTCGGGAGTTTGAGACCAGCCTGACCAACATGGTGAAACCCCATCTATAAAAAAAAAAAAAGAGAGAGAGAGAGAAGCTGAGGTGGGTAGATCATTTGAGCCCAGGAGGTTGAGGCTGCAGTGAGCTATGACTGTACCCCTGCACTCCAGCCTGGGCAACAAAGTAAGACCCTATCTCAATAAACAAACAACTCCCCAAATCAGTTTTTTGTCATATAAGATAATACATTATTACCAGACAACATTGTCCCTTATCAAAGGTAAGCTAATGATTGCAACAGCCTCAAAATGTTTGTGAAACAAATAAGCAAATGATAAATGTAATTAAACCCCAATAAATACATTAAACAACTATTGAAAAAACGAACAGCTATTACTCTGAACATCAACACTGGTGTAAGAACTAAGTAGTTTAATTTTATAGGACTATTCATCAACCTAAAAATAATTCCCATGATTTTAAGTATAAGGACTCTATACTTCTTTCTTTAGATCCTAAGTAGTAGGTCTAGATGATGGGAAACCCGAATCATACTAGTCTTCATTTTTCATGAATGTGGATCCCTTCCTATGTAGGCAATCACATTAGAAATGCTGAAGGAGATCCTTCAGTATTGCCTATAATATTGGGAGCAATATTCTGATTGCCTATAAATATTGGGAGCATCAACTAATAAGATAGTATTTGGAAAGATTTTTTGAGCCCCTTGGACCGCTTATAATACATCAATTATGGCAGGACTCATTCCAAACCACATTTTTTCTTCTCAAATTATCTTCTCTAATGTTTTTGTACCGTCATTGCCTCTTCCTCTCAATTTATTTTTAAGATTTTTTTCTAACTAAAAAATGTATGCTCATGTAGGCCGGGCACGGTGGCTCACACCTATAATCCCAGCACTATGGGGGGCCGAGCCGGGTGGATCACAAGGTCAAGAAATCAAGATGATCGTGGTCAACATGGCGAAACCCCATCTCTACTAAAAATACAAAAATTAGCTGGGCATGGTGGCAACATGCCTGTAGTCCCAGCTACTCTGGAGGCTGAGGCAGGAGAATTGCTTGAACCCAGGAGGTGGAGGTTGCGGTGAGCCGTGATAGCCCCATTGCACTCCAGCCTGGGCAACAAGAGTGAAACTCCGTCAAAAAAAAAAAAAAAAAAAGAAAAAAGAAAATGTATGCTCATATAGAAAATTTGAATAATAAATAAAATTCAAAGGAAAAATGCCCATAATTCTATCAATTTTTTTCCCTCCAGGATTATGATAAAATAATTACAATCTGAAGAATGTATCTTACATCTTTTTTCAATGTCAAGGGGAATATATCTTTAAAATAATTCACTTAGGTTTTTGATAAGAATTCACATAGGTTTTTGGTTAACACATGGACTGTTTTAATGCTTAATTGCCTCTACTGTCTTTATTAGGAAAGTAATAGAGGTATTACCTAGCAGGTCCAGCTGAAATCACAAAATTAAATACCAGCATTCTTTGACTCTACTCCAGGTGTTGTTTCTTCATAAACTTCATTTTAATTGATGTGTAAATGATAGCTATCATGTATGGAGAGCCTTATTTAATGATATATTCATATCAACCACCACAGTAAGATATTTTTCTTTACAAAACAAGGGTCTGAAATCAGTCACACAGCTCTTAAGTGGTATATTGAGAATTTTAGGGTATTTGAACGCTGCCCTCTCAGCTTCCAAGGACATTCTTTCTACTACAGCTCAACACCTCGCCATAACATCATAATCTGCTTAACGAGGCCCTGTGGTTGGGCACTTCAAATGCCCACTCCCCTCTCTCTTTTCTAAACAATTAGCAATAATGTTGGAGAAGAATTTGGTGTATAAAACTTTGTTTCTATGATTATTTTCCCCAAACAGAGTGTTTAAATTATTGTGTTAAAGGAGGCAGGAACATTTTAAAGGCTATTTCTATGTATTGCCAATTGCTTGTCTCAATGGGGTTGGCCAAATTGTAATTCAATCAGCTGAGCCTGAGGCCTCCTGCTTCACTGTTCCCTTTATAAAAAAAAAAAAAAATGGTTCATTTGGTAGATTAAAAAGTGATTCTCTGATGCTAAGTTTTTTAAACTGTTATAATTCATTATGTTTTAATACACCAATTCTCTATTCTACAAAGTGAACCTTATACAGGACTGGCTAAGATTTTGAACTAGAAAGGGAAGACAAGGGAGTGGTTATTACGCTTTTTCTTCATTTTACTCACTCAACAGTCGTTCAACTCCTACTCTTAGCCAGGTACCATCCTGCGCTAGCATTGGGGATATAAAGATGAAAGTCCATTCTTGACCTCTAAGAGCTTAAGGACTAGCAAGAGACACAGACACATAAACATACAATTTTAGTATAGAGTGACCAGCACTGTGACCAAAGAAACAAAAGGAAGATGCTTTGGGAAACACAGAAGAGGCCACCTAAGCTACTTCGGGAAGGTTCTGGAAGCCTTTTTGGAGATTCTGAGGTCTGAGTTCCATCTTGAAATGAAGCAGAAGTTAACCAGCTTTTCCCTGACATCCCAAACCCGAATTAATTGCTTCTTCATCAGTGTTCCCCTAATAGAGCACTTGTAACGGTGTTTGCACTTAGTTGTTTCCAGGTCTTTTTTTCACTGAGCTGTGCTTCTTGAAGGGGAGGCACCATATCCCTAACAAGGCTAGCACAGTACCAAAAAAAAGCAGTAGAATGCAATAAATGTTTGTGTAATTATTTTAAAATTCTAGTCATGAACCTATTTCCACCCATATCTTCTTCTTGCATTTATATAAATGTGTAATTTTCCTTTTGATAGTAAAAATACTACTTTTACCACATACCCTCAGAAGGGCTCAAAGGATGGGAAATAACAAGTGTTGGTGAAGTATATGGATTAATGGAAATGTTCATACATTGCTGGAAGCAGCAGGAATTGGTTCAATCACTGGAAAACTGTTGGTGGCCTCTACTAAAGCTGGACTTTCCATATCCTATGATGTGGCAATTCCATTCTTAATATACACTCATCAAAAATGCATGCATATGTTCACCAAGAGGCATCTTTTCACCAAAGAAGCACTATTCATAACAGCTCCAAACTAGAAAATACACAGACACCCATCAACAGTAGAATGGGTAAGCGTATTATGGTATGATCACATAGAGCAAGGTAAAAGAATCTATACTCAATGATATGAAGGAATTTCATGAAAGTAACGTTGAAGACAAAGCTAGATTTTTGTTTTTAAAAAGTACTCACCATATGATTGCTTTTATATAAATGTGCAAAACTGAGAAGCAAGGTGACAAAGGGAGTGTCATCATCTAGAAAGTGTTACAATAAAATGCACAGCTAGTGCTGCCCTGTGGCTCTAAGATCTACCTCCTTCAAAAGCCTGCCTGTGGTAAATACAGCTACCCCCCCCCCGACCTCCCAAGCACAAGGTAAAGCATAATTGGAGTGCTGAGGCTAAAAAACAAAATACCACCAAGACTGATTGAATGAGGCACCTAAAAATTATGTATAGCAGGTTAAGGCATGGATTTTGTGATGGAACACCACCTAAACACAAGGGGGCAGCTGTTGCAGCATCCAGTTCATCTTAAGAATTTCAGGCCAGGCGCAGTGGCTCATGCCTGTAACCCCAGCACTTTGGGAGGCTGAGGAGGGCGGATCACCTGAAATCAGGAGTTCGAGACCAACCTGACTAACATGGCGAAACCCCATCTCTATTAAAAAGACAAAAATTAGCCTGGCGTGGTGGCAGGTGCCTGTAATCCCAACTACTTGGGAGGCTAAGGCAGGAGAATCGCTTGAACCCGGGAGGCAGAGGTTGCAGTGAGCCAAGATCGTTTGAACCAAGAGGAGGAGATTGCAGTGAGCAGAGATCACGCCATTGCACTCCAGTCTGGGCGACAGAGCGAGACTCTGTCTCAAAAAA